TGCAGTGCGAGTGGCTTGGCGAGCGTGTCGCTGCACCCAATGTCAAGGGTGTCATGTACAACATCATCCACGGCAAGACTGCTGGAAACTGGGGCCCCAACGCCACCTTCCGCTTCCCCGCACGAGACGGTACCGGTGGTATTTGGATCGCTGTCGCCAAGACGCTGCCAGAGTCCAAGACACGATACGGCGAGAACAGCAAGGTGACCAAGGTCGATGCCGATGGACACAAGGTACACCTCAAGGACGGCACCGTCGTCAACTACAAGAAGCTCATCAACACCATGGCTGTTGACTCCCTAGTCGAGACCATGGGTGACAAGGAGCTCATTGACCTCAGCAAGGGTCTCTACTACTCCACCACCCACGTCATTGGTGTTGGTCTTCGTGGCGAGCGCCCAGAGCGCATCGGCGACAAGTGCTGGCTGTACTTCCCCGAGGACGACTGCCCCTTCTACCGTGCCACCATCTTCTCCAACTACTCACCCTACAACCAGCCGCAAAAGGACGTCAAGCTCGCAACCCAGCAGCTCGCCGACGGCTCCAAGCCCAGCTCCACCGAGCCCAAGGAAGGCCCATACTGGTCCATCATGTTGGAGGTTGCCGAGTCTGGCATGAAGCCCGTCGACCGAGAGAACCTGCTCAAGGACTGCATTCAGGGTCTCATCAACACCGAGATGATCAAGTCCGACGACGAGATTGTCTCGACCTACCACCGCGCCTTTGACCACGGATACCCCACTCCTTCGCTTGAGCGTGAAGGCGTCCTCACCAAGCTTCTCCCTGCCCTTCAGGCAAAGGACATCTTGTCGCGTGGCCGCTTCGGTTCATGGCGCTACGAGGTTGGTAACCAGGACCACTCATTTATGTTGGGTGTCGAGGCTGTAGACCACGTTGTCAACGGAGCTGTTGAGCTTACCCTCAACTACCCCGACTTTGTCAATGGTCGCAAGAACGAGGAGCGTCGTCTCGTCGACGGTGCCCAAATCTTCACCAAGCCTTCTCTTGCGCTGAGGAACAAGGGTGTTGACTAGACGCATACACAAGGAATGCTGGGCATGTTATGGATTTTGAGAGATGTTTACAGGATACCACGCTTATTTACGAAACGGACGGCATGGAATAGGGAGTCGGCGCATGTGTGCATGTTTGGACTCTAGGTAGATAGATGGTTGTTGCATCTGCACAGCATCTAGTCGATGTTGGCAGTGATAAAGGATAGACATTACCTTTTTGCCAAGTCACGCTTTTTCTTGGATTTGTTGTCTCTTGTGATTGTCTTGTCTTGTCTTGTCAGTGCTTTCTCTACTCGCTTCGTACCCCAGCAAACCCCCGTTCCTGCGTCCACCCATCCATTCATGCACATTCCATTTCCATGATCTACAACATTCCTCCGCTTAATTTAACCCCCACTCACCTTATCCCATCCGCCCTCCCCCACTAGGAACAAAAGAGCACATCACAATAACCACCCGACTGGACGACGTATACCGATGACGCAATCACATCCGCAAAAATTTAGAACAAAACCTCTCTCCCACCGGTTTGAATCCATGAATCATGCAACATATTCCAACTTACTTTGGGTAAGTAAATTCGGGAGAATTATAAGAAAGAAAAAAGTGAAATAACATGACCGCTCTTCATGATTTCCAACGGCGGCGGCGGCGCCCCGGTGTGAATGGGGGTTTTTTTTCATTTTTTCGGTCCGATTTATAGCATGTGTTTTTTTTGTTTTTTCTTTGCACTTTTCCCTGTCTGCGTATCTATAGTACTACTAGTTACTTGTATGATGATTAACCCCCCCCCCCCCCCCATTGCTAGCTATCTTCGCTAAAAGGAAGGAGAGAAGAAGAAAAAAGATAGTTATGGGTGTTTCGCGTGATGAAATCGAGTGAAAAACAGGGGCAAACGAAGTGTGTGATTTTGTGCAAGTTGAGAGACGAAAGGGGGGTTTTTTTTTTAAAAACTGAAAACTGGGGGAAATAATAACTAGTAGGCAAAAAAAAATGTTGCGATATGAAGGAAACGTGGGAGAAAAAAAATTGCTAATAAATCTGGTACTATCTGGCTTCTAGGTGAGGAGAGAAAGCTGATATGGCGCGTACAAGCATGTGCACGTGTGCTTGCATGTATACGTGATAGTGTAAAATATGTGGGGGGGGAAAAAACCATGTGTTTGGGAAATGAGAAGATGAGCAATGCGACATGACAAGACGCGTAAGTCCCGGGAGTTTGGTGTTTATTTTTATACATTATGTTCATGTGGTCTCACCTTATTCTCGATTTAATTAATATGGAAATGCCTTTTTTTTCTTCTAATGGGATTGTTTTCTTGGATGGGGTTTGAAGTTAAATGGGTGGTTTCGAGTTTTGATATGGTGTAGAATGAGAGAGATTGAGGGTGGGGATTCGGAGATATGCATGGGTACATAGGTAGGTTTGGAGGGCGGGATGCGGAATGCGGTGAGGAAACCAAAGAGTACACGTGGAAGTATGAGGCTTTTTTTGAGGGAAAGAGGCCCGGGATCGTCGATCTTTCGGTATCGCTGCTTTATCTGGATAGAGAGATAATGGAGAGCTAAGAGCCTTGGAGTGTAAGTAAGTATGTAATTTTAATGGTGCAGCTACTATATAATCACGTGATTGCTGTTTGATTCGTGTACATAGTACGTACAACAGGGCATTGACCACATGTATCTCATGCTTTGCTCGCCCTAAACTTCCTCAAAACCTCCCTCTCTTCTTCGTTTTGCGCAATGCTCTCCTCATCACCGACGGGTAGGCGTTGGTGCTTCCATTGCTTGCCTCCGGCACCGTACTCGGCGCTCACTTGTGCATCGCCTACAATCACCCATTTGTATATCGTCAAGCCTTCTAACCCGACAGGCCCTCGCGAGTGAATCTTGTTCGTGCTGATACCGACTTCAGTCCCGAATCCATATCTCTGCCCATCAGCCATGCGAGTAGACGTATTCCAGTATACGCTAGAAGAGTCCACGGCTGCGAGAAACGACTTGGCTGTGGGTTCTGATGTAGTCAGGATGGCGTCGGTGTGATGAGATCCGTGTGTATTGATGTGAGAAACGGCTTCTTCAACATTTGCGACGGTCTTGATAGCAAGAATGTAGTCCAGAAACTCGGTATCGTAGTCTTCAGGCCCTGCTTCCTGTAGCAATGCTGCCGAGTGAGGATCCAATTTGCCTTTGAGCGCGACCAGGGACGCATTGTCGCAACGAAGGGAGACGCCCTTTTGTAGAAGCGCTTCTGCAACGACGGGGAGACTGGTGCTGAGGGCTTCTTCCTCTACAAGGAGTTGTTCAAGTGCATTGCAGCCTGCAGGATAACTCGTCTTTGCATCAAGGATGATCTTGGTGGCCTTGTCGGCAGGGTAGTCGGAGCATAGATAGGTGGAGCATATACCGTCAGCGTGGCCGAGAACCGGGATTGTGGTCGTGTCTTTGACGTAACGGACTAGTTTATTGCCGCCGCGGGGAATACACAGGTCAATGTAGGTATCTTGTTTGAGGAGATCGGCAATGACATCGTGGGTTTGAACTAGTTGGAGGCAGTCTGATGGTACTGCAGTTGATGCCAAGGCCTTTGAGATGATGGACGCAATTGCCGCAAAGCTGTTGCTGGATTCGCGACCACCTTTGAGAATGGCGGCATTCCCGGATTTTATTGCAAGCGCGGAGATATTGGCAATGACTTCGGGTCGTGCTTCGAAGATGATGAGCAGTACGCCAATTGGACACGTGATTCGCGACAGGACCAAATTGTCGTCAAGTAGTGTCTTCGCAGTCGTCTTGTTGATGGGGTCTTCCAAGTCTCGTACATCCAGTATGCCCTGGAGCATATCCTCATATTTGCCCGGCTTGCCCAGATCCAGCCTCTTTACCAAGCTCGCGCTGAGCGTGCCTCCTGCTGCAGCCTTGTTGGCAGCCTCAAGGTCCTGAACATTGGCAGCTAGTACTTCATCCTTGGCATTCGCCAGTGCATCGTGGATGGCTGTCAGGGCGGCATTCCGCTCGTCGGTAGATAGGACGGCCAGTTTCCGGGACCCGAGTCTAGCTGCCTGTGCAACCTCGAGCGGTGTGGCGTTGGTCAGAGACATTTCTTCTCCTTGGGGGTTGCTTTTGCCGGGTGGTGGTGGTGAGATGTGGTAAAATGGCCAAAGTCTTCGGATGCGTGTGACTCAATTCAATATTGATGGAGTGACGAGGGGCCTAATGCAGGGTATGCAGGGTCTGTTTCCGCTGCGGATGCTATTGGAGATGCCACTGCAGGTCATACATATGCGGAGATGGCGAGGAAGCCTAAAAAAAGCGACAGGACTCGTGGTGGGATGAACGTGGTGGTGTTGCGGGGTCTAGATGCATGACGCCACACCCGCCCGCATGCGAACCAGGGTGTTCTCCTCTTCTCACACCAACCACCACCCTGCTGACCGCGCTCTTATTACTCACATCCTGGACCGCAGCCCAACTCGATCGCTGACAGCTTTCAATAAGTTTCCGGCTTCGTCATAGGCCGGGGGCTCTGGACACGCACCAAGATTGCGTGTTGGCAGCAGCGTCTGGCGGTCGAGTGCTCGGCAGGGGTTTGGTGTGGCTGGGTGCGCCTACCAACCACCTCGGCGTCGCCTTGCCAACCTCGCCCAATTCCATCCACTCCCGTATCGCAACAAGCAAGCCTGACCGCACTATCCCAGTTTCACTTGCAGCCCACTACGTAGGTCACCGCTCAGAGATGGCTGGGACTCTACAAAAGCTGCAGGGTCGCCGGCCACAGGGCCTGCCACCTCTGCACACTGCTTCCCGACCGCCTCTCAAGTGCTGAGAAGGTACCCTGTCGCACTTGACCTTCACGCTACTCACGTGCATACCCGCCAGTGCGCCGTAGACCGCTGTAGCGTCTCTTGCCATCATTCGTTTGACTGCGTCCGTCTTCCAATCTATCTCACACCACTATCGCTATCGGCCGTCACCTTCACTAAGATGCGTTCTACAACAAGGGCCCTCGCAGCTCTGCTCTCAACTGTTCTATACGTTCCCTCTGCAGCACAAACATGGTCCAACTGTAACCCGACCCTACGAAGCGACTGCCCTCCAGACTCCGCGTTGGGAAGAACAGTAAACATTGACTTCAGCTCAAAGTCCGACAGTTTCACTCCTCAGGGCAACCCAACCTATGGCTCCGATGGCGTATCCTTTACCATCTCAAAGGCTGGCGATGCCCCACAGCTCACTTCGCTATGGTACATAATGTTCGGCAGGGTAGACATTCAACTCAAGGCTGCACCGGGCGCGGGCATTGTTAGCAGCTTTGTCTTGCAATCCGACACCCTTGATGAAATTGACTGGGAATGGCTTGGTGCAGACCCTGATGAGGTTCAGTCAAACTATTTTGGAAAAGGTAAGATATGATCGAGTTTATCGAGCCATGCATACATCAACCTTTAAAGTTACTTGCTAACATCCATCCAGGTCAGACAACTGACTATAACCGTGGTGCTTTCCATTCAGACCCGGGTAGCCAATCCAACTTCAAGACATATACGATCATCTGGACACCAGAGCAAATTGTATGGCAGATTGATGGCAACACTGTGCGCACTCTTGAACCCGCCAACGCCAACAACCAGTACCCCCAGACACCTATGCAGGTCAAGTTTGGCTCCTGGAGCGGTGGTGACCCAGCGAACCCTGCCGGAACTATCTCTTGGGCTCGTGGTCCTACCGACTACTCCAAGGGACCTTTCACCATGACTGTCAAGTCCCTCAAGGTCCAGGACTACTCCACTGGTTCCCAGTATATCTACGGTGATCAATCCGGTACTTGGAAATCCATCAGATCCAATGGTGGTGCCATTTTTGCGGGAGGTAAAGCTCCAGTTGCGAACGCACCCGCAGTCACCGCAACAGCTAATGGCGCCCCTCTGCCTTTTGCTCCTCACCAGACCAACGCCGAGCGCCCCAGCGTTTACCCCTGGATTCCTGACCCGAACGCTACTCCCACTCCTCAGCCCACATTTGCAAACTATCCTGGCCTTCCGAGTGGGTGGACTGTTTCCAATACCGGAAAGGTGATTCCACCCAGCTCAGCCACTGTCAGTAAGCCATTTCTTCAGCAGTTCCTCCACTTTGCCACCAGTATACTGACCTGACTTTTGTAGATGTCCCCTCCAGGTTCCTCTATCTCATCGCCGCAAGCTTTGCCTACGGATTCCTCCGGCAATGGGCCTAAGACTGTAACCGGCTACGACGACCATGGCTTCACGACAATTCGCACAATCTTCCCCGAAGCCACGCCAGCACCCTCGGGTAACGCACCACAGGGCAACGCTGGAGAGGCGGTCCCTGCCGCTCCCTTGGCAGCAAGTTCTTGGACCCTTGTCATCTCGAGCATACTGCCCTGGGCAATTGTACTCCTCCATATTCCAACCTGCCTCGGCTTCTAGGCGAGTTGGGAGAACGTATGGTATACTGTGGACTTCGGACCAGCCTATTCTATCCTCGGTGCTGGTATCGTCGCGATGTTTGCATGTCTAATGAAATGCATTACGAAGGGATATATTGGTTTCAAAATCTCCATCAAATTGTGGGCGGGTCCTTGGCCTGACGCAAGCTGGAAGTGGAACTACAAGTTCAAGGGTAGCAAGGAGACGGCAGCGACGTATAGATCCATATGGGCGTCGCTCCGGTGGTTTGTTCTTGGAGCTTGATTTGTTTTTTGTCTTGTTTTATTGCATAGCGTCTGGTTTTGGTATTTTGAGCGTATTGGCTTTTTTCTTTGGTTTATAGCATACCTGCGGGTGATTGAGCTGATTGGGCTGCGGTTGATGTGGATTCATGGCCTGCTTTCATACGAGATTATAGAGTATAGGAGACGATGTCAAGTCGTAACGTAATGAACTTATTGTATTGTATCATCAGCATTCTCACCATTGACATTGTGCCCCATGAATCATTGAAGAGATGCCTCCCAATGGGTCTTGATTGCTTATATCTCTCACCCAGCAGGTCTTCAAACACACCCAATGTCCAACATTCATGCTCACCATTCCCTAATCAAAAAGTCACTCCAAACGAAAATCCCGTGCATTATTTTTTTAGTGAAGTAAAAATCAGCAATTCTAATATACAAAAAAAAGACGAACGCAGGATTTCAACCCCTCTTACAGTTTAGAAGAAGAAGAAGAAGATAAAAAAAGGACCCTGAACTGCCGAAGCATACCATTATGATTTTTCTGATTCCTCTTTTTGGTTTTTTTTCTGCCCCCTAACATATATACCGTACTCCTCCATTAGATTTGATTGAGTGAATGGTCCCCTTTTGAATTGAAACTTTTTTTCTGCGCTTTTGAACCGTCTCGAGGTGAGATGATGGATGTGGGACGGAAGAAGGACTTCTTCCCTCACTGTATGGCATACTTTGGTGGAGGAAAAGCAGTAGCCGTATTAACTCGATCCTCTCCTGGCTCTCGTCCAAGCAACAGTCCCCGAGTTTTTTTATGTTAGGTGAGGAGAAGTTGGACAAGGAGGTGAGAAAAGTAGTTTTCCCTGTTCCTTTCCTGCTTATTCTCCTTTCCAATTCAAATTTGTGATTCCAAGAGACATACTTCTCTCTTTCTCCACTGCGTGAAGCCTCTCGCTTGCAGACCGCCGATACTAATAACGACGGCTTAACCGCCACGGCCACCATATGGTTGATGTCTGAAGCCGCCGCCTCCACGGTGGCCTCCACCACGGTAATTGGCGCCGCGGACACCAGCGTTCTTAGGACCAGTGGGTGCATTGATGGGAGCCTGACCACCGCCAGAAGGAGGCTGGCTGGATCCCTGGCGAGACCGGTTGTTTCTGAAGCCACCACCGCCACGGCCACCGCTAGGTCCGGAGGGGACGTTGGGTGGAGGTGCGTCATCGTACATGCCGTCCCAACTTGCTGGGCCGCCTCCCTGGGCCGCGCCGTAGCCCGCGGGGCCAGAGAGTTGTTGCTGGCGACGAGCTTGCTGTTGTTCGTATTTTTGCTGTTCAAATGCTAGCTGATCTTGTGCTGTGTATGCTGGGCGAGGACCGGCGTTTTGTCCGCCTTGAGCATTCATCATGCCTGGGCCTCCGGGTCCGCCTGGGCCGCCTCCACCTTGCATCTGTTGCATCTGTTGCATTTGCATCTGCTGCATTTGCATTGGGTTCATACCGCCAGGACCGCCCATCATCTGTGGGTTTGGTGAGCCAGTGCCGCGGTTCATGCCTTGGTTCATCATCTGCTGTTGCATCTGCTGCATCTGCATCGGGTTCATACCGCCCATTCCGCCCATAGGGTTACCCGGCATCCCACCACCAGCCTGTTGTTGAGCGAGCGTTTGTTGCATAGATTGGAAGTATTGCTGCATCCGCTGCCAGTACTGGGCCATCATAGCTGGAGACATGGCAGTGTTGCTGCCTTGTGCTTGCATGTTTCCTCCGCCGTTCTCATAGCCGTTTCCTCCACCTTGACCACCGTTTCCGCCATCGTTGAACTTGTTGAACTTGTTGCCGCGACCGAACTTCTTGTTTCCGTCACCTCCATCGTCGTCGCGCATGTTTCCGCGAGGCTGGGCGCGCTTAACTTCGATTTGCTTGCCGAGAATCTGGAGTGGGCCGCGTAGTGTGGCATCTACTGCCGCATCGCCGTCAAAGGTAACGAAACCGAAGCCACGAGGGCGGCCCGTTTCCTTGTCCATCATGAGTGTGGCATCAACGACACGCCCAAATTGCTTGAAAAAGTTTGTAAAATCTTCCTCTGTTGCTTCTTGGCTGACACCGCCGACAAAGATCTTGCTGGTTCGTTCTTGTTCTTCACGAGGAATAGCCCGCTTTGGGTCAATCTGATCATTGTTAGCGAAGATTTTTTATTCGAATTGGTGGTTGACATACAATCTTGCCGTCTAGATAGTGCTCTTTGACCATGACGATATTGACGCATTTGGGGTCCTTGAAGGTAAGGAAACCAAAACCTCGAGATCGGCCAGTAGCAGAGTCGCGCATAACCGTACACTCGCTGACCTCACCAAATTGTGAGAAGTAGCCCTTGAGAGAATCTGTGTATCAGATATTAGTACTGATTATGTGTTGTTGCTTGTCGCAATGGTCACAAGGCCGACAAGTGTCAGCTCTCAAGATGAAAGACTGGGAACTGCTCCTAACTCAAGTCAACAAACGTACCTTCAGTAGTCTCCCAGTTCAGACCGCCGATGAACATCTTGCTACGGTTGGTGTCAGTACGTCAGTGTTGACATGGTGGATAAAAACAAGAGTACAAAGGGGGCATTGAGACGCATCACAGGTTGTCGACAATAGGTATCCAAAGGCCATTCGAGATGAGTAAACAGTGAAGATGATATCCGAGCAACCCGATATCCTGTAATGTCGAGAAGGCATAGGACAGTGATCCCAGATGTATGCGCAAAGTCACTGGGTTCCAGTCATGTAACCAATGTCCAGAGGAAGGTGTATGACAAGGGTCTTTGGCGGGTGAAGCGGGGAGAAGCGCATGGTTTCGGATACGGCGTATGGTTCGTCCAGTAATATCGAGATAGCCAGACTATAATGTACCCTGGCGGTCCTGAAGGCGTGGGAAGCCAAGTTGAATGTATTGCCTGTTTGTGTTGATGATTCAGACATAAGTTCGAGGTACCATCGTACCCTAGAACATATTGTCTCGGTGATTTTAAGGTACTTTGCACTCAGGCACCCTGGCTGTCCGATGTTGATTGTGATGATGACCGAATACAGAACTTAAGCGAAGCCATGTCCAACGCCGCATCCTAATCCCAACATGTCGAATCTTGTGGCGTAGACCAATCATGCAGACTAGCAACGCAAACAACGTACTCAAGATCGACATTTCGAGGTTCAAAAGTAGCCCTGCAAAGGCACAGTATGGTTCGGATGAAGCGTCTGTGTTTTGCTATGGATTCGAGTGCAGACGTCTGAGAAAGACATTCTTACAACTCGGTAGCTATCCTCTGCTTGCGTTGCTGGTACGCGCTATCAAGTACCTAGGTATATATCGACATGAGGCGCTGCCAACGTTCGGGCAAGCCACAAGAGTCCTCGCGAAAGGCGCGTTGATAGTTGTTTCTGAGTATCGCAGAGCCGTTGACCCGTGTCTTCCAGCTTCTTCCAACAACCAAGCTTGACGGCCCAACCCGTCATATTCAGAACGCTCGCCAAATGGGCGACGCAGATTGCAAATCTTCGCATCTTGTCAAGATCCTAAGCCTTCACACCAGACTGGCCAGTTACGACCCAAGGCGTTCTTGGGTAGTGCAAGTGCATGATAATCTCCAGGGCATGCTCCATAATCATGCGCCTAGAGAAATCAAGCAACTGATGTACCATTTTGTCGCTGTCTGATGTCCCAATACTACTTTTCATGCGGCCGATTATATTTTTGATCCTTATAACGGTATGTGTTCGGCAGGTGGGTGAGATCGTATCTCGAACGTGTGACCTTACCTTGTGATGCGCCTCTGGGATATTAATACGACATCAAGCATGCACGACTTACCCGTCTTCTTTTACGTTTATAGGTCCATAGTTGTCATCTTCCGCAGGTGCGTTATCAAAGGACTGTTCACCTCCAGCATTGAAACTAGATTGGCCCATCTGTGTGTCCTCGCCCGCCGCATTTTGGGCTGGCCAAGATGCTTCAGCATTTTGGCTGTGATTCTGGGTAGCATCCTGAGGCGGCGCGCTCGCAGATTCGGTTGGTGCTGGCTCTGGCTCGGCCTTGGGGGCAAGTGCAGATGCCGCTGGGGCTTGCTGCGACCTGGGCTCATCGTCATAACTGGCTAGTAGTTAGCATTGCGCAGAGTGGCGTCACAGAATAGCTGAACGCATTGCATCCGGGTCGATTGTCTTACAGATCGTCAAAAATATCGTCCTCGTAGTTCTCGTCGGCCATTGCAACGGCTGAAATGGGGGCTAGAAGTGATTAAGAAGTAGAGTTACAAAAGGACTGGGGTGATGGCAGTTCTTATTGAGCTCCTGGCGCGATGCTCTGATCAAAAGCTTCGGCTACCTGGAAAACTCAGTCGGAGAGGCAGATTGTACAGTCGCGAAAGAGTAAGGCGATGGTATGAGAATTAGGGGATTGACGCGATCGAAGGCGGGTGGGTAAAGGTGAAGGTGAGAGAAGAAGAGGCTGCCTGAGGTTGGGAGACGAGAAGCAACGGGCAGTCGCGCTAGTGTGGGCGGAGCTTGGCGTGACAGGCGCGATGGATGGAAAGCACGAGCGGCAGCGCCGTGGTCGGGCAACTTGGAGCTCGGGGCCTCGCAGCGGGGCGTTGTCGCGACACGATTTCAAGAGACGCATTCGATTCCACCATGGCTTCCAAAAAACAGCAGCAGGTTCGTGATTCTTCGCTCGTGTATGCGCAAATGCCGAGTATTTTCTGACACGTCGCCAGGAAATGGTGCAGGTCGGTTCGTGTCCATCCAAACCACCAAGCATACATACATCACGATACCCGGGGTAGCTAACACATCGCTTCCCTACACACAGACCGCTCCTCGTACGTTGCTATGCCCGAGCCGCACCCACACCGCCGATATTGACATTGATTGCGCAGTTCTGCCTCGCCCTTTTGGCGCACGACATCCAATACCGCTACCTCACCCACAGGCAAGAAGGTTATCGGCGCATCATACTCCCATGCCGACATACTCAACTTCAGCTCACTGTATGTTTTGTTGTAACCACATTCACACATGGCGCCTAGACTGACCGTCAAAGGAGCGTCTCTGGGTCGACGTCACGGCCTCGCACCCCGCCATCGGCTACGCATAGTCGCGAGTCGAGCATTGCCCCAGGCCGGTCAAGCAAGACCACATCGCCCCGTTCGCGCCCAACATATAGCCACTTTCTCAACGACACACAGCAGGACTGGAACCATGGCGATGACCCAGATGACCCCGACAACATGTTTGAGGACGATGAAGACGAATTTGGCCTACCGAGCATTGCAAATATGCGGAGAAAGGGCCGTCGCAAACAGCCGACAAAGCCAAAGGACCCAGGCGGCACCGCTCGCAGGGAAAGTCAGGGTTCGACTGCATGGCGGGCAATAGACAGTGGTGACATAGCCGAAGAGCGAGGCATACCCAACTACCCAACCGCCAAGAAGATTGAAGGAAAGATATTACGACCGCAATACCAAGAAATCCTGCGCGACCCCGCAAATTCTCTACATCTCATCGCACATCCCCCCGTAGACCCGAATGCGTCAGCAAAGCAAATTGAGGAGCACTCGGCCCGAACAACAAGAATCAACAAATTCAAGCGGATACTTCAAGCCAGCACCATCTCGCTTTCCGATTTGCGCGACTCAGCATGGTCGGGTGTGCCATCTGAAGTACGCGCCATGACATGGCAAGTCTTGTTGGGATACCTCCCCACCAGTAGTGAAAGGAGGGTTGCGACACTGGAGCGCAAACGAAAGGAATACCTCGAGGGTGTGCGGCAGGCTTTCGAGCGAGGGACTTCTGGTAGTGCAGGCGCTGTCGCCTCTGGCATGGCTGGGGGCGCCTCTTATCCTGCAACAAACCGAGGGCGTGGGCGTGGCCTGGATGAAGCGATATGGCATCAAATCAGCATCGACGTGCCTCGGACAAACCCCCACCTAGAACTCTATAGCTATGAAGCGACGCAGCGGTCGCTCGAACGCATACTATACGTTTGGGCCATACGGCACCCCGCCTCGGGCTACGTACAGGGCATCAACGACTTGGTAACCCCATTCTGGCAGGTCTTCCTGGGCGCCTACATCTCAGACCCCGACATTGAGTCTGGTATGGATCCTGGGCAGCTACCTAAGCAGGTTCTTGACGCTGTAGAAGCTGATTCATTCTGGTGTTTGACTAAGCTGCTTGATGGGATACAGGACAACTACATCGCCCACCAACCGGGGATCCAGAGGCAAGTGTCAAGCCTGAGAGATCTCACCACACGCATCGATGATGGGCTAGCAAAGCACCTCCAAAATGAGGGTGTCGAGTTCATACAATTCAGCTTCCGTTGGATGAACTGCCTTTTGATGCGTGAGATATCCGTGAAGAACACAATACGGATGTGGGATACCTATCTGGTATGTATTGTTGACTGAAATACAGACAAATGACTGACGTGTGTTAGGCCGAGGAAGATGGGTTTTCGTCTTTTCATCTTTACGTTTGTGCCGCCTTTCTTGTAAAATGGTCGGATCAACTTCGCAAGATGGATTTCCAAGAGATCATGATGTTTTTGCAATCATTACCTACTCGGCAATGGACCGAAAAAGACATAGAATTGTTGTTGAGTGAAGCCTTCATCTGGCAAAGCCTGTTCAAGGGTAGCGGTGCCCATTTGAAGAACACTGGCTCAAGAGAGATCGGTGTAGGGATGGGTCCCGACTTTTAAGAGCGCCGATGTTATAGGTTGAGTAGATAAATCGCAGCCATGTCGAAAGTGCATACACTGTAGCAAATTTGTGCACGGGTATTGCGAGAGTTTCTTCCGCGCCTGCCAAAAACAGTATCAATTCAAGATATTTGGCGCTTGCTTTTCCGAACAGTATTTGTTATCTCCGCACTACACCAATATCGGCTCAGTAACGAGTAGCAACGGGAATAGAAGCTACCCCGCCCTTTACCCCACTATACGTCACTTTGCCCATGCCTCGGACTTAGACACATAAAGTATCGTGCTCCGCCTAGTTCCATTACTCGAATGCCGAACTCGAATCACCAGTGTTTTCGAGTAGTACTACCCGGACTAGATATCACAGAGACCAAGGGCAGCATTCAAGATATTCAATGGCACCACCACCTCGCCCTCCGTTCACAGAGCTTCCGCTTGACAAGAGCGGTCCTCCAGGAAACGCATGGGGTCTCTACGGTGCCAATGATGAACTTGGTGCCCTCAATATGATCACTCCCTCTGTTGTCAAAGCCGCTGCACAAGAAATCCAAACTGGCGACCGTGTATCTCTGGACTGGTATCTTAATCTGCCATCTCACCCGTCCTTCAACCGGCCATCATTCTCCTGGACCATGAAAAATAAGGAGCATCCAGACGGGACGAAACGAACAGTAAATGACGATCATGTGGATTTCAATACGCAGGGAAGCAGCCAGTGGGATGGTTTTAGACATTACGGATACCAAAGCGCGAAAAAATACTACGGCGGACGCTCACAGCAAGACATTGAATCATCGCAAGTCATTGGTATCGACCGTGTAGCCAACTCCGGCGGCATCACGACCAGAGGCATTATCTTAGATTATCCGCGCTATCTCGAGAAGAAAGGCGAAAAGCAAGTAAACTCGTTGGAGGCAAACAGCATCACTGCAGATGTGCTGAGGGACATGTTGAAGGATGTAGGCGTTCAGCCAAGAGAAGGCGATCTGTTATTGCTGAGAACAGGCTTCACTCGGGATTACAACAAGCTCAGTGAAGCAGACAGAAAAGCGATCAAGGACAAGCCACCGACGTTCCTTGGTGTCCAGTCCGATAAGCAGAGTTTACAGTGGATTTGGGAAAGTGGATTCGCGGCTGTTGGTAAGATCTTTCTCAGTCTATACTTTCTGCTCTGCTCAACCTAGTCCATGTCGTCTCCATTTCTCATACCAAAAGTTCTCTGTGTTAATTGTCTCCTAACCGAATTATAGCTTCTGATGCCCCTTCTTTCGAAATGTCACCTTTAGTAGGTCCCCACAACGCCCCTGGCGGCATATGGACAAACGAGTCTTGGGAAGAAGAGATGCAAGGTGGTGGGTTGTTGCATCAATGGTTACTTGGTGGTTGGGGGGTTATGATTGGTGAAATGTGGGACTTGGAGGCACTGTGTAGTAAGAGCGCAGAATTGGGAAGAAACACATGCTTTGTGAGCAGTGTGCCGCTCAAGGTATGTTGGACCATCTCTTCTTCCTGGTTCTTCCAAGCCTTAGAGGTCACGTGAGTGTACTCACAGGAGAGATGGAAGGCACAAAAGAAGGAAATACTACTTGGTGGTACACGACGCAAAGCTAATCATAATTCATTACAGGTACCGGGTGGTGTAGCAAGTCCACCAAACGCTGTTGCTATCTTCTAAATTGGGTGGTATGTTAGAAGTATACACTTGCGGACCTTTATAGATTTTGCCAGGTTCAAGATAGAGTTGGAAATGGTCTAGTCGACGGCTATTCCATAAATTCCGGTAATCTTCCACCATATTTCTCCGTGTATCACTTCTACACAAAATATACGAGATGGCCCGCTTCCCCCGGATCGTTGCGGAGTGTACAATTTAAGATGTTGTGCTGGTCTTAGAATCGATACTTACACGGGCGCACTGCCCTTCGCACCCTTTCACTCTTTCTTTCTATCTTTCTTTCTTTCTCGCAATCAATCTGGAGTAAGTGCGTACACGCTGTGTATCGATCTCGGTGAAGGTGAAGGTGAGTACAATTAACATTATGTACGGCGGTCATGTGAAAACATGACGCACTAGGGCTTGCACAAGTTGAACAGACACACACATATATATAACAATGCAATCACTGGTGGGATCACCTTCATATCCAATCCCCAATCTTGAAACAAAGCCAAGCACGTATACTTATATACACAACCAGAAAGGGGTGGTTAAAAAGCTTGGAAAGACGCACAGCCACTTTTGCAACCCTGGTTTCAATTTCAACATCACGTAAGCCCTAACCCTAAATCCAGAGATGTACCACTTTGTATGGAAACTCTAAACTCTAACACAAGGGTTTAAATGTCTACCTTTCGTCCATCGTATTTTTATACTTTTGCCTTTTCGCTTCTCTTTCCTCATTTCGCCAAGATATACCCGACTCTCGCAAAGAAAACAAGATGAAGTACTTCACTTTCGTCACGATTACTGCGCTTGTTGCGTTTGCGACTGCGCACCCTCCAGCTCAAGGTAGTGGACAGAAAGCCGCCGCTTGTAGCAGGATGTGTGCTGGGCCTTCATTGTCGTGCAGTGATGGTGAAGTAAGTCAAACTTTTTTTCTTTTCTTATTTTGAGATTTTCGGCTCTTCTTCTTACATGCTTTGTGTTCCGTACATGCACACTATTTTTTTTCAGAAGCTAACATTGTGGCAGTTCGTCCAACAGCTTGGTGTAAGTATTACTACATTCCATGCGGAGAGACTACGTTGAACGCGCAAACAACGTGGGTTTGAGAGTAGACCGGGTGACCACAGAGAGAAACCTTTCAAACCCAAGCGCATGGTAAACGGGTTCAAAATAAACTAACATGCCGTATAGGAATGCTACACTTGCTGCCGAAATTCGTAGTTCCCTCACAGTGTCTTGATGGTGTGCACTGGTACTACCGTCACACGATATAAGCCCGATGGCAACGGGTTTACGCATGCCTACCATTGATCGAAGACATTACCGCGTTTTTTCTTCGTACATACTAGCTGGTTAAATTTATAAAACTGTGTACATTGAAATCTTCTACTCGATAACAAATTGCCCAACCCTCCGGCATCTCAGGTAGCAACGGAATACACTTCGCTATCAAAGTTTTATCAATGTTCATCACATTCAAGCTTTCCAAAACTCAAGTCCAATTTATCTGTTCACCCAAGAAAGCTGTTCAAAAAAAAAGAAAAAAAAGAAAACAGGATACGAATGCGCTGCTCGTCCTGTTCTCCTTGCCATCCATCTCCACCACTCCCAGCCCGATCTTACTCAGCCATAGGAAAAAAACAGCAAAATGAACCACACCATCCCAACCCTCACAAACTTACCCACCACACCACTCAACACTCCCATAAACACTCATGTATCGAACTGGAATCGAACAATCCAGACACATGCGGCAACACGTGAAATCTACCTCTCTTTTCGAATCTTCCAATAATCAGGCACATGTGGCTATATAGTTTCCCTATTTTCCATCTTTGATGTAAAAAGAAAAACCGACCTCTGTGTTTTTGTGATTTGATTTACTAAGTGACGTTTGTGGTTATGTAGGGATTGAAGATGAAAGTGTGAGAGGGATTATTGTCGCTGATGGTGGATGGAGTGGTAGAGGTAAGAGGCGAGCTATGAAGAAAGAAAGAAAGAAAGAAAGAAAGAAAGAAAGAAAGAAAGAAAAAGGGGATTTTTTTCCAGCTAGATGATCTGGAGTAGGGGAAATGAGTGCGAAACTACCTTTCTCGCCCCGCAATAATGTATGGGTTCGTATGAGAAGTCCTTGGCAGAGCTAGGCATGTGTATAATATGCTAACAGTCATGATATAGATACTTGTCGCATCCAACTTCATACTACAACTTGAGCAAAAAAAAACAAAAAACAAAAAGCGCTCAAATCTTATCCTCACAACATTTGGCCTCAATTCTTCAACTTTCAAGTATACCGCTCAACCTGCTGCTCACACCACTCCCAAAACGCCTTTGCATTTTCCTTCCCTTCCTCGGAATAAAAATCCTGTCTCAACGGCATTATGCGCCCCCAGGGCACAACCCACTCGCTCTCCTTCAGCTTCGCAGCTTCAGGCGCCAAACTCGCAAAAAGTTCCGTATACGCACCGTTTATAACCGGATGCGTTATGAGCTTGACAATCAACCTCTGCCATATAGGTATGTGATTGGCAAGATCCGTCTTGAGATTCCCAGGATTGAGTGGCTGAGCAAAGGGGGGGAGATGTCAGTAAAAAGGAAAAGAAGAAGGAAAAAATACACACACATGTATGGAATCGATCTGGATCAAAGGCAAACATGAAAGATACAATCCATGGAGGTAAGAAGAAAAAAAATGGAAAAGAAAAAACTTACAATACTGACCACACCTTCACCCCCATACCTTCTCCGAAACTCGAGGGCGTGCAAAATGTTCCCCCCTTTACTAACCGCATACTTGGCAGTCGTCGAGGTATTCTTGTTATAGCCCAAATTCTGCATATCCACCCCTCCCTTTGGCGCACTTACATCTGCCGCCGAACTCGACACCCATGCCACCCTCACGCTCCCCGCCGGCTCTTTCTTTGCCGTCGCAACCAGCAGCGGGGTAAGCAGTTTTGTAAAGAGAAACGGGGCAATGCAATTAGTCCCGAGCTGGATTTCGTAACCCTGTTTCGTTTTTGGGCCTAGCGGGGTCATAAAGACGCCTGCGTTGTTGATGAGGACGTCTAGACGGGATTCTTGAGCAAGGAAATTTTCAACGGAGGGTTTTATGCCTTCGAGGTCGTTGAGGTCAAGGTGCAGATGGGTTAGTTTGCCTTTGGAGGATGGATGCTGTTCTTTGATCCACGCGAGCGCTGCTGTTGTTTTCTCCGTTGAGCGCGCGGCAGCGTATACGGTACCATTGCGCGAGTAAAGGAGGCGCGCTAGTTCTTTGCCTATGCCGGCGGAGGCGCCAGTCACGATGAATACTTTGTCTTTAAGGTCGGGCAGCGAGTCTTCAGTGAAGGTAGGTGCTGGGGGGAACATCTGGCTCAATTGGTTACCCATTTTGACTCGAGGTTTCCTGGACAGATCGTATGTTGACGATTAAGCTTGTAATATCATGGTGATGGCCTTGAGAAGGTATTTGAATACCGTATCCCGTCCCTCTGATCTTCGGAAGGCCCGGCTCTTGTCGCCCGCCAGAAACGGCCCGGTTCAAAACAGCTTGTCAGATATCATCCCAATTGGCGAATTCAACAAAGATAATTGCTCAATCTCCAATGACCAGATACATTTGCTGACCTGCATAGCATGCAGTCAGTTCCCTCAGACAACGTTGTGGTAGGGGGTCAAGCGCAAAGTGGGCCCATTAGCGTAGCTGGAGAGCCTAGCCTTGGCCGGCGGAGAAGGAGATGTGGAGGTACAAGGATACAAGGGTGCTATCCAGTCACCTGCCTGGGAACTAAACGCATAGCCTGTCTTTTAGAAAAGCTTGAAATGTGGAGTATTGAAGTCGGAGCTGAGATGAACCACATCGTTTATATACAAGCTGGAAGTAGTCAACGCTCGATACCATCACAAAGCCGACAGGCAGCAGTGGTGGGGTAGCAATTTCGAGATGATTGCAACTCAGTTGGAAGTGCTAGAGGGTACTTTGATGGTATGCGGACATGGTAAACATTGGATATATCTTACTTGTTTGTATCCCTTCTATACATACTGCCTGAAAATAATTCACTCTTGGACCCAGGGTCTACTTCTTGTTGGTCTTTCCCATAGCAAGCAGCGCATCCTGGTCCCTGATACCAGCCAGCTGTCCTTGTTGCGCACGTTTGACTGTAAGCGCAGCAATGAGCGCAGCACCAACACCGGAACCGTCCTCGGCAGGTAGCACCTCAATAGGATCGTTCTTGCCCTTTCCATACTTGGCTGGCCAGTCCATGATTTCCTTCAGTGCCTGAGCTTGACGGATCTTGAAGTGAGGGTATTTGCTGAATACGGAACCGTCAGCACCAACATGCACCTCGCTCCATTTCTTGTGCTTGCAGATAGCAGAGACACCGCAGGCAGTCAGACGAGCAGCGCGGGTACCAATAAGCTCAGCAAGTCGGCGGATTAGTTCGAGTTCAGGCTTAGTGCAGGTGATACCAAGTGTCTCCTGGAATAGATCGGCCGTATCTTGCAAATTCTCGAAGCGGTCTTCTTCGATCTGGGAGAGGAAACCAGCATCAAGAGAGTAAGGCTTGTCGAGTTTGCTGGCGTTCTGGCCTTGGAACATGGAGCATTCTGTACCCTTGTGAAGATCCAAGAGGACTAGACGGAAAATCTCGCCAAGGTACAAACCTGCAACCATCTTCTCAAAAGTCTGTTGACCTGGCCGAGGCGACTCCTTGTCAATTATAACGTCGTACTTTGTCCGTGGCAGAACTTGATGTTCGTTGTCAAAGGCGCCCCATTCGCAGTTGATAGCCATTGGCAGTTTTGGGTCCAGGTTCATGTGCTTCAGCTTGGGAATAGCACCACACTCCTCCATGTAGGCGGCGTTGCACCCCGTACCGAAGATGCAACCAATTTTGATGCTGGTATCGGTATACGCTGAGGCAATCATGGTACCAGTAGTGTCGTTGACCAGCGCCGCGAGCTTGATAGGCACGCCGCGTTCCTCCAGAGCTGCCTTGAATCCAGGCACAACATCTACACCTTCCACGCCTTGTACATCGAATCCCTTGGTCCATCGCTGTAGGACACCGTGATCAATAGCATCTTGCGAGACAGGGTACGAGAAGGTGAAACCGAGGGGCAGATCGGCGAGCTGTTCGCCCTCGTGGTGGTACTCGATGAATTGCTGGAGGCAGTCGGCGACGTAGCCCCATAGCTCATCAGCAGTTCCAGTCTTCAGCTCCTCGGGCATACGGTACTTTGATTGTATAATCTCAAACTCTCCCTTCTCTTCCGTCAGAGTAACCTCGCAAACACGTAGGTTCGTACCGCCCATGTCAAGCGCAAGATATTTTCCGGTCTCGTTGCCATCGGGAAAGGCCATGCACCAGGTCGGAATCATAGGCTATATGTGTCAGTGTTCTGCTGCCAGCGCTGCGAGTGAGGTGCAACTCACGATGCTTCCACCTTGCTCTGATAGTCCCTTCTCGAGCTCATTGACAAAGTGATCCGAGATGTGCTTGAGCTTTTCCGTGGAGACGACAAACTGCTCCTCCAGCTTCTCAATCTGCTCCTTCAGATCCCGGGGCATGTCCGCCATGGAACCTAGCACAGTTGTCATTCCCTCAGTCTTTGTGGTAGCAGGTTTGGAACATACCCTTGCGGGAAGGGGGTTTCTTTGCGCCTAGCAACACCATGATTGCAGATGTGAAAGTGAAATAGGTATGACCGGTTTTATCGTAATTTATCGTAATAGGCGTTATGTGTCGAGACAAAAGTTGAGGCTAATAGGTGGGGAGCTTCAGTTGCTTGTCAGTGTCGGTACAATGACGATATGCCTGTGGAGATGCTAGGACTGAAGGGAACCGCTCGGCCGTCATGTTCCGCGGGCAATCCCACTTTTTGTAGACGAGATTTGCTTTCTCCACCAGCCCAGGTTGCTTTTGGAAGTAGTATGGGGAGAGCTCAGCTTACCGAGACTGTGTTATCATGCACCGTCCACGGTCAAGTCCGCCAATGGCTTGTAAGGATTATTCAACAAGCGTTCAAGCTCAATCGGGGTTGATGGGGACTGAAGAAGAAGAAATTGTAGGGTGCAATTGGAGGAAGCGGAATCGGGGAGGGGGGGGGAATGGATACGCTCGAAGCCATGTTGAGCCCCGCCATCCCACGTAACATGGCTGGACACGCCTCCGAGCTTGGAGTGCCGCAATGGACCCCGCCACCTTGTCCACCGCCTTTGCTCAATCATCCTTGGCTTCGGACTCGATGCTTTTGCTTCGTACAGCACCTCACCGCAACACATTTGCGTGATTCTCAACCGGAGAAGCTCTGCGCATTCGGCATCACACACTAGGAGTCGCTTGTTTTTGAATCGTTATTTAAACATGAAAAGCCAGTATCTGGATACCCAGACACCGGCATAAAAAACCTCATTGTGTTCCTGCACGGGTATCATAACGCCAAGACCCGGGCTTTACGCCATGCCCAATACCAATATCAATCCCCTTGCCCGTCATCATGTGCACGCTGCTCTCATGACACTTTCTGCAAGTGTCCGGGCAACAACTGTCGAGGGCCACCTGAACTAATAGTACTCTGCCTTCTGCTTCCCGCTCCACTATCAAGTCCAGCACTCAGCGGCGCCCCAAAGCCCGCGCTCTGTGGAAAATGTTCGTTGGTTGCGCTCAGAGGTGCGCCCATCATACCCAGTCCCATTCCTCGTCCGGTACTCGCGTTGTCTCCTCCTGAGAACATGGAACCTCCTCCACCAGGCGGTGCTCCAAGTGCTGAACGAATCATGCCCTTCATCCGTATATATTGGTATTTCGATCGTTGAGACGTGTGAGTATACGTTGCCATGGGACGCGGTCGGTGTCGACCCAGGGCGGCCATGATCGAATCTTTCTCTTCGTCGGAGTCAACAGCACCCGAGGGCTCGAGATCTTCGGGAAGAGGAGCATTTGCGTCAATGAGTGATCCTGAAGCAAGGTTAGCGTGTGCTCCTCTCGACACTGGTTGTCAAACGGCATACTTTGTATCTTGGCCTGGTTCTTCTTTTGGTACTGCGCCAACAACATATCGTACGGCAGACTACGTCCCGGGACAGCCCTTTTGAGACCCATGGAATGGCTCTTGCAAGTCAAACTCCTGGCGCAGTATCCACCGTTTGGTAGAGACACACCACATTGCCTCTCGACATCGACTGGCCCTTTGGGTTTCGCGCCCTTTTGCTTGGGTTCGTCCTTCTTCTTCTTCTTTGCATTGGGTGCCTTCTCTGCATCCCCATCAAGCTTCCGCTTCTTGCCCTTCTTTGCGCCGTCCCCATCCATAGAAGCGCCTTTGATGGCCGACTTTCGTGACTTACCACCTTCGTCATCTTCGCCTTTCTCCTTTCTGAGCGCAGCATCTTTGGCCTCCTTGGCTTCTTTCTTCTTCTTAAGCTTCTCTTGCTTCTTGTGGAGACATTCGCGGATATGTGTTGCTGACGATGCGCGAAGCACTGGCCGACGACAGTGCTTGCATTGTACCGTATCTACCTTGTCATCTAACGGGCGGCCGCTAGGAAAGCCAGCGATTGTCTTCTCGTCGAGAGGGTTGATCACAGGCGAAGTTGTCGACGATGCGGGGGCTTTGTTCTCAATATCTAACCTTACATTAGCATAGTATAGACTATATGCATGCACATGGTGCGCTGCACATAGATTTTGGCATACTTGTCGCATCGCTTTCTTTCCAGTTGCCCGGTAGCGATGGTTTAGGCACCGGCTTCTTGATCCTCAACTTGATTTTCGACTTTTCCGACTTTACGACGCCTTTGACCAGACTCTTGTCTAGCAGGCCTGTGGCTCCCTCCGAATTTGTAGGAGTTTCTATAGCGCATTAGTGCCAGCACGCGTGTGGGGTTTGGACACTGCGGCGTGAGCTCACCCTTTCGCGCCCCATTCGCGGCCATAGTCACGGCTGCTTAATGTCGGCGGAGCCCTTTACTGGGCTTCTGAGAGGTTCCCAAGGTCGCCCGGAACGTGATATCAATATTGCCGATGCCCGGTTGCTTGCAAGGAATGAATCCAGATGGGTATAGACGCGCGTGTTGTTGAAAGCCTCGGATCGGTTGTCGCCCGGCGATGACGCGCTAGTCCAAACCGGTCGATACATCACATGCGCGCGCCATGATTGCGCTCTAGGATCAATCACCAAACAGCCTTCAGCATGACACCGAGTATTGCACGCACAGTTGAAAAGTGAATAGTTTTCTTTGTCTCACAAAAGTACATTGTTCGGCCGCTTGTTGCAGTGATAAAACACCATATAGCTGCATATAGTACTGTCAAGTCAGGACAGAAAGCGCAATTCCAAGATAACCACCCAATGCATACTATGGCATACCCAGTGAATCGAGGCCG